CTCTCTTTTGGGGTTGGCCATGGCCCCAACGGATTGAAAAGATTTTGGCGGGAAGCTTTCTTTGCACCGGCATGCCCAGTGTTAAGGAGAGGAGGAGGGGAACGAAGATCTCCTTACTTTTTCGGGTAATACGAGTAAAATACTGACCGTGGGATCACCAGTACTGCACGGCAGGATTTGGGTCACTCAACTGCCACACAAACTCTTTCCTATCCTATCCGGTTGCTAGTGGGACCATGCCCCAGGAGTAGGATGCAGTTCCTTGCAAGGCAGCAGCTCAGTTTCTTCCTTTTTTCTGTTTGTATTTAGTCGTCCAGTTTTGATTTTGGTTAAGGCTGCAGACACGGGGACACTGGACCCGGTTTCCAGCTCAAGCTCTTTTTTTTGGACCATTCCTCGATTTATGCGTGTCATCCTCGCCCAGGGCCCATGCTAATCTTCTCTGTATCGTTCCAAATTTAACGGATGTCCTGAAGGACACACTCTTCATATTATGAATGTGTAATAATGTCTATCTTTTCTGCCAGCAGTTCCGTCCATTGACTGTGGACGCATCAACCAGAGATGGAAAATCACATGCCACCTACTTTTCAAGCAAAAGCTGCAAAACCCCTTGTTCTCATTCTTTTCTGAGGTGTTGGCAGGAGTTGAGCCTACTCCAACTGCATACACACCTCCTGTCGAAGACATGAAGTGGAACTGGACGTGCCTTGAACTGTGGGTAGTTGAATCTTTCTGCATCAAACTTTGCTGACTTCTTCAACCATGCAGATCTGAAAAGTAAAATCCAGGTGAACGGCACGGCATGATGGAGATGGGGAGCCAGTTAGTAATTCTACTGAATTTCACTAACTTTAGTAACTTACCAATTAGGCACAGGACTGTGGCGAGGTACACATGATTCTTAGTTCGTCTGACGAAGCATGCACAAAGCATGCTTAATTATGGTTCGCCTCAGAGCTAGTTATGAAGTTCTTTAGTGAACTGTGCTTCATCTCTTCAGGAGAAAAGAAATACCAGGATAAGGTTGGAAAAAGCCTCAAAGAGGGAAAACAATTCAACATAAGCTCCCGCACTGATGCTTCCCAGAATGGACAAGGAGCCAGAACCATA